TGAACTCAACTATTTCTGGCTATCACAAACGATAGACGCTCAACGAAGTGGCTTATCATGATCATCATCACGTGGAAATGTATAGCAGCAGTCATATAACTCTAAACGAGTGATGTTGATTATATAATAAATGTGGAGGGGAAAAATCCAACGCGACCACGGGCAGAGAGAGAGACACGCAAACTCCAAATATACAGCAGCAGGCATCGGGATCGAACCCACGACCTCCTGTATAGCAGGCGAGGGAGTTAACATCTCATAGCCACCGTGATGATGATGAGAGAGACACAAACTTCAAATACACAGCAGGCGTCAGGGTCGGGATCGAACCCACGACCTCCTGTACACCAGACGAGGTAGTTAACATCTCCTGGTCGCTGTGGTGAGCTAAAGACGATCACATTAACTAGAATACAATACCCAGAACTAATAACCCCAGAGCTGGGATTTAGCCAAAATGGAAAAAAATAAATACTTCAATTATGCAGTCATTGATGATCGGGTCGTATTATTAACTATGGCTAACTAAACACAAAATGTTGTTCTAAAGAAATGTAGTAGTGGTGGTGTACAGTGTAGTGTCTAGTAGTGTATAGTGTCGTATGTATGTATACTTTTTATTCGCACTACCATACATAGCGCACCTCACTAATCGGAGGTGCAGGGGAAGATACAGATGGTAAGAGAGATTGTGGTACGGTGAGAGATGCAGAGGGATAGTGAGTGGGTGAGCGATAGGTCATAAATACATTGGCACGGAGTATATCATCTCCATCATCTGTGCGTATCAGCAGTAGTGTAGCGGTTAGCGCGCTGCACTATGAAACCGTCAAATTAACAAGGGTTTACCGTATTCTAGATTTAAAGCTTTCGTGACTGCTAGGATCCATACTCTTTGGTTCTATTGGGTAAAGTCACGTAGGTGTCCTCCAGACAAGTCTCGTCCCTTCACCTGATGAAGGCCGCTTGAGTTGTGGCCGAAATGTCGTGATTTTTTGTTATTTTATTTTCACCTACGTGACTTTACCCAATAGAACCAAAGAGTATGGTTTACCGTATATTTAAAAAAACTATTTATTACTTGTGTGGGGGAAAGGGATACAAGTGTGAAGGGAATGAAGTGACTTGATTGAGCCGTGGGGGGTATATCGTGATAAATAGCAGCAGCAGCAGTAGCGGTGGTTGTGTACGTGTGTGTGTGTGGGGGTAGTGTAGCGGTGAGCGCTACGCTGTGCTACGAACCCGGTAACCCGAGTTCGATTCCCGCTCACGGCCAACACCAGTGACGATTATTTTAACCGGTCCTGGGCCTCACCTAGGTCGACTCAGCCTCAAATGAGTAGCTGGCGCGGTGTGCAAACATCGCCACTGGAGAGACAAAGGCGGCCGGCCGTGGTGCTGGCCACCCACCCCCTCGTGTACCGTTCCGGCCTTCATAGGGTGCTCGCGAACAGCGCTTGCCCCAACAGTCTGTTAAGGCTATACACGGGGGATCTTCGTTTTTGTATAATCAGTTCGCCTCGGCCTCAAATAAGCACTTGGTGTGGTGTGTAGTAAACATTGGGAGGCATTGGCGCCATCTGTCGGTTAGAAGTCGTTCAAGAAAGCAAATTGTAAATTGACCAAATTTCTAAGACCGGGGGGAATTTTTCCACTTGCTATCGGCCGCAAACGGAAGCGCGCGTTGCTCGCGGTGCGAGGTCCACGAGAAAATCTTGCCGCTCAGGACAAACGACGCTTAAACTACATTTACAGTCAAGGTCAGGGCCCGCTGAACTGCTATACAGCTCAAACTTGATTTGGGGCTTCAGTGACCACGGAAATTACGCTTTGGTTATCTCGGTAAAGTCACGTAGAAAGAGAGAAAATAAGCAATTAAATAATCGCAGACGACATTTTCGATTGCAACACAAGCAATCATCATCATCAGGTTCAAATGAAAGAGAAAATAAACCCAGCGGACTTAGAAATACAATGCAATACAACACAGAGGAAGGCGTCGGCTAACGTCACGGTCAACACCCTACCTGGTTGATTACGTTCTTCCAAAGATTGCTCAATTTGAGAGAGAGAGAGAGCGAGAGAGAGACAAAACACAGACACGGAGAGACACACAGACACGCCATACAGCTCTTTTTCAGCAGCGACGCCAGCCACAAACGGGAGCTCAACAACACAGCGGCATTATCGCGCGGAAATTTGTTGCAGCAACCAAGTACCCCAAAACGCGTGGCGATGTCGATTCTACACGTGGAGGGGAAAGACCGGAGGTCCCCCCGGAGAGAATTCCACGCGAACCACGGGGAGAGACACGCAGACTACAAACACCCAGCGGGAGGCTTCGTAAGGGCCGGGATAGAACCCACAACCCTCCGTATGCGAGGCGGGGTAGTTAACATCTTAGGACAAACTACTACTATTTAACTGCTTTGTAGCTGCTATATAGCTCTTATTCAGAAGCGAACTGGCCACAAGCAACAGCTCAACAACGGAGTGGCTTGCGAAAATTTATACAAGCAGCCAAATACTCTAAACGGATAGCGATGCGGATTTGAAATGTCGAGTGGAAATCCACGCGACCACGGGGAGAGGCTCACAGACTCCAAATATATAGTTATCAGGGGTCAGGATTGAATCCAAGATTTCCTGCATACCAGGCGAGGCAGTCAAAATCTCCTAGCCACCGTGATGACGATGAGAGAGACACAAACTCCAAATATACAGCAGCAGGCATCGTCAGGGTCTGAATCGAACCCACGACCTCCTGTAGACCACGCGAGGTAGTTAACATCTCCTAGCCACCGTGATGACGATGAGAGAGACACACAAACTCCAAATATACAGCAGCAGGCATCGTCAGGGTCGAGATCAAGCCCACAACCTCCTCCATACCAGGCGAGGTAGTTAACATCTCCAAGTCACCGTGGCGAGGTAAAGACGACCAACATTACCTAGCACACCCAGAACTAACAAGCCCAGAGCTGGAATTTTGCCAAAATGAAACAAAAACTCACTTTCAGTTGGTGTCTGTGCAGTATATTGGTGACCGGGTTGAGTGAGAGTCGCATTCCCAGCTGTGGCTTGGCTCCCGCGGTATCATTACGACTACGTACTTATGCATGTTCGTTCTTAAAGAACTGAGTTTGTCAATGTAAATGATGATTTAAAAGTGCATCGCAGCTCCCATTGGCAGTTTCCGAATATCCGAAGGGAGAGGGGGGCGTTCCACTGGCCAAAGCAGGTCACAAGACTCATCATCACCGTGCTACAATTGGACGTTTGGCCAACCAGATAAAAAAAAAAGACCTGCCATGGGTACGACGACCCAAACTCCGCGTGGATGGGACACGAGAATCCCCCCCATTCGCTTTTACTGGCTCCCATCCACGTGGCCGAGCCCAGCACTGCCACTCCACGGACGGCTTTACGCTGCCCAGTCGGCGCCAGATGCAGCAAATTTGAGATCAAAGGCCCGAGATGAGCCGGCACAGCCAATGAGGGTTGTCGGCCCAAGCGAGCACTCAGGCGATCGCTGTGAGACTTGACGAACTGACGCACAGGCGGACGGACCACACAGACGGACAGGTGGTGGTGGTGACGTGGGACGGGTGGTGGTGGTGACGTGGGACAGGTGGTGGTGGTAACGTGGGACACGTGGTGGTGGTGGTAACGTGGGACAGGTGGTGGTGGTGACGTGGGACAGGTGGTGGTGGTAACGTGGGACAGGTGATAGTGGTAACGTGGGACAGGTGGAGGTGGTAACGTGGGACAGGTGGTGATGGTAACGTGGGACAGGTGGTGGTGGTAACGTGGGACAGGTGGAGGTGGTAACGTGGGACAGGTGGTGGTGGTAACGTGGGACAGGTGGTGGTGACGTGGGACAGGTGGTGGTGGTAACGTGGGACAGGTGGCGGTGGTAACGTGGGACAGGTGGTGGTGACGTGGGACAGGTGGTGGTGGTAACGTGGGACAGGTGGTGGTGGTAACGTGGGACAGGTGGTGGTGGTGATGTGGGACAGGTGGTGATGGTAACGTGGGACAGGTGGTGGTGGTGGTAACGTGGGACAGGTGGTGGTAACGTGGGACAGGTGGTGGTGGTGACGTGGGACAGGTGGTGGTGGTAACGTGGGACAGGTGGTGGTGGTGACGTCGGACAGGTGGTGATGGTAACGTGGGACAGGTGGTGGTGGTGACGTGGGACAGGTGGTGGTGGTGACGTGGGACAGGTGGTGATGGTAACGTGGGACAGGTGGTGGTGGTGGTAACGTGGGACAGGTGGTGGTAACGTGGGACAGGTGGTGGTGGTAACGTGGGACAGGTGGTGGCGGTAACGTGGGACAGGTGGTGATGGTAACGTGGGACAGGTGGTGGTGGTGGTAACGTGGGACAGGTGGTGGTGGTAACGTGGGACAGGTGGTGGCGGTAACGTGGGACAGGTGGTGGTGGTAACGTGGGACAGGTCGTGGTGGTGACGTGGGACAGGTGGTGGTGGTAACGTGGCCCCGCGGTGTTGCAGATGTTCATGGTTCAAGCCCCACAGCTGCCCTGGTTAATACCGCGGAGAGTATTTACCAAGCTCAACATACACACATCCTACACTATACACTACTAGACATGACACTATACACTACTAAACACTACACAATGCACTGCACAATCCACTACACTATACACTACACCACTTTACTAAATTGAAAACGCATTCTTTTTAACTGCCTGTTGTGTTCCGTTCGTCGTCCCCCTCACCCCCTCACCACCGATGAGCACGGTTGGCTACGTATGGTGCAAAAGAAGGTCAACGCACATACATACGACACGACACACTACTAAGACAATACACACACTGTAATACACTTCACAATACATGACATTATACACTACACCATACTCTTACCAAAATAAAAAAAACTAATTTGTTTAGAACTGCAGACGCAGACTGAAGAAGGCGGTGGTCGCGTGGGTGGCTAACAGCGGCACCACCCATCACGACGACGACCTACCGGGGTCCTTGGCCTTGTCCATGCCGACGCTGAGCGGCGGAGGCGGCGGCTGCATGCCGTGGACGCCCGCCGACATGGGGCTCTCCTTGCCCATCTGTGCCACGCAGGGGGCGCCCGGCCCAGGCCCGGGGCCCTTGGGCATGCTGGGCATGGGGTCGGCCTGGGGGCTCTCCAGCCCATCTGTGGTGGGGGGGGGTCAGTGGAGGGGGAGGGGTGGTGGTGATGGCGCGGCGAGGTGGGAGGCACACGAAGATGGGGTTGTTGATACGAGGGGGGAAATGTGGAGGTGGCAACATGTGGAGGCGGTGGCACAGATGCGAGGGGAGTGGGTACAGACATGGGGCGCGGTTGTACGAAGAGGGAGACGCACAGGGAAATGTGGAGGTGGCAGCATGGAGAAGTGGCGGTGGTGGCGGTGGTGGTGGCGCAGGGCGGTTGGCACAGGCAGGAGGAGGTCGCGATGGGAGCACAGGGCAAGCGGGCGTGGGCATAAAACAGTGGGCGGTGGCATCACGGGAAAGGGTGCGCGGGGAAGGGCGGGCGGTGGCCACAAAGGTGGATGGGCGACACATACGCGGGGGTCGCGTGGCACAGAGGTGGGTGGTGGAGGTGGTGGTGGTGCGAGTAGGAATGGCGTGGCATGGGGGAGATGAGATGTTGGCATGGGGAGGTATTGAGACACGGGAGGTTGGGGACAGTACAAACACAGGGTGGCATAGGGGAGGGGGTGGGGGAGGGGAGAGATGAGAGGTTAAGAAAACATTTTTATTACACGGGGGGGGGGGGGGGCACCAAACCTAGACTCGCATGGCATTACAAGGCCCTCACAACCAGCAGTGGACTAACGAAGGACACCGAACAAAAGGAGGCACAGGGCATGCTTGTTATTGTTATTAGAATATTTTTCATAATAAAGGTTTTTGGGTTAGATCGCGTTTATTTATAAATGTGTCGTAACCCTTCACCACCCGACACGGCCAATCAGCAAAAAAAAGTGTCACGTTGACAAAAGACAAATAATTCACTGCTTTAGCCCACCGGTGTGTTGAAGAGTGAATCCACATTTACAGTTTGAGTACGACGTTTCGCTGGTAAATACATCCAGCATCATCGGGCAATTCGCCAGAATGGTAAAGCCCTCGCTTGCTCCCGGTTTTATATAGAGCAGCAGGGTGACGTCATCACTTAACTCATATCAGGTGCAGTGATTAGAGGCGGAGGGGGGGGGGTATTGTAATTATATAATCGATTAGTAATCAGTCATTGGTTATTTGTCCTTTGTCAACGTGACACTTTTTTTTTGCTGATTGGCCGTGTCGGGTGGTGGAGGGTTACGACACATTTATAAATAAACGCGATCTAACCCAAAAACCTTTATTATGAATAATATTGGTCGCAAAAGCCTACGCATTAGAATATTTGTTTAGAATTCGAATATTTATATCCTGGAGGAATCTGATGAGCTATAAAGCTCTTCCCGCCCCCACCCCCCACCCCCACCACGGATGTCCAGTGCAATGTATAATGTCCTTAAGCCTCGCGGAGTCTCAAAGGCCGCCCCCCTCTCAGAAGGGTTCTTGCCGTGCTGCGTCAGAAGAACCCCGCGGTCCGTTTTCTCACCAAACGTGACGGTGGGAAAAATGGAGAAAAAATAACGGCCGCCACCGGTGAGATTTCGCGGTAAACACGTGGCTGGCAAAAGGCAAAGACTCGCCGTTTAAAGTTGGCTAAAGACTCGCCCCCCCCCCCCCTGTGAAGCACGTGACCCCCGATTATCACGGTTCTGGGTTAAGCACGGAGCGATAGAAGTTCAACGCACGTACGCACGTACACACATCACGTGGCCCGCCCCACTCTGAACCACTCCCCGCCCTTTCTCATCAACAGATCTCCATCTCTCTTCTCTCTCTCTAACCAGCTGAAGCCACGTGACCCCCCGTGTGGCCACCCCCAACTCTTATCTGTAGATCTGTAGTGACAGCCGACGCAGCGGTCGTCAACAGTAAGAGTCTGTACTTCTTTCAGCAAGAGCCACACGCGGCGGGGTCTTCAAGGATTCCCTTCACCCCAAGCGTACAGAACTATCTCGCTTCCGCCCACTTATCAGTGCCTAACTTATTGCAGGACCAATGCAGACCTTATTGGTCACCCCCGCGCCACTTGTAAATCTCAAGGTTCATCCTACAAGGTCCCATCACAAGACACGAACAGACGATCACCACTACTACAGTCACCACTGCACACCTGTCAACCCCCTTATCAGTGCCCTACATTATTACAGACCAAGTCAGACCTTATTGGTCACCCCGTGCCTTATGAATATCAACGTTCAGCCTATAAAGTCCCATCACGAGGGAGAAACGCAAACAAAGAGACAAAAACAAATTTCCCGTATTGAAACGGCTGTACGCCGTACGGACCCAAAAACTAAATTTCCCTGCACAAGAATATGGGCAAACCGTATCGGTTGACACGTATATGCTTATATATGCCTCAAGCCCTTCTCCCGAAGGTTCCTTGAACTTCCGCATTCCCTCCAGCCATTCAAATTCCAACTTTTCCTAACGAATCCCAATCACCCTCCATTACCCCGCTCTTTCCATTTTTTATTTCTCCTCCAATCCCTTCAATTCCCTGCAAACCACAAAATCCCCTTCCAGGCCTGTTTAAGTAACCAATCAGAGGGCTTGTTTTTACTTCCTGATTATCCGTGTCACGCGGTGACCACCAGGTAAGTTGAGTATCGTTGGCAGTGGTACAATTTCTACGATCTCTCAATCAGTTCAAGCCTTCGGTAAACCACGCGTCAGGGTCGGGATCGAACCCACGACCTCGCTAAAACCCCGCCCCACAGCCCCCCCCCCCCCCTCAGGACCCCCCGACCCCCCACCCCGCCGCCGCCACCCCCTCTATCCAACCAGCCGTGCAAATGAGTTCACCACGGTTGGTCCACGGTCGCAAGGTCACATGCGGTGGGGCTAAAGCACGGGGCACTTTCCACCAAGACTTCGTGGGAAGAAATACCCGCTGGGTAGTGTTGGTCTCTCGAGCGCCCTCAAAGGGCGCCACGGTGGCTAGGAGATGTTGACTACCTCGCCTGGTACACACAGGAGGTTGTGGGTTCGATCTCCCGACCCCGACGACGCCTGCTGCTGCCGTCTATCTGGAGTTTGCGTCTCCCTCTCGAACACCGTGGTCGCGTGGATTTTTCTCTCCGTATTTAGAATCGACATCGCACGTTTAGAGCAGTGGTTCTTAACCTGGAGCGCACGCACACACCCCCCTGGGGGTGCGAGATTCCTTTTCCGAGAACCAAAGCGGTGCAAGGCTGGAGAAACGGTTAAGAACCACACTGGTTTCGAACTTGTCGCTGCAATCAATTTCCACGCGATAAGCCACTTCCGTTGACCTGTCAATTTGTGATGGCCCGGACAGGGGTTCTGAACAAGAGCTGTACGGCTCAGTGGGGCCTTGCCTGGTAGAATAAACATAGCTTAAACAGTTTTAGTTTAGAGCGGAGAGCGAGCACTCTGCGCCCGTGCCCTTCGAGCCCCCCCCCCCCCCCACTGCCGTGGGCAAGCTTTTGCTTTTTTGTTCGCGTTCATCGCGCGGTTTGCAAAGTTGGGGGGAGGTGGGGTGGGGTGGGGGAGGTGTCATGGCTTTCTCAAAAGCGGAGAAAAAACATCTGGAGCTGGGGGAAGGAGAGAATAAGCGAGGGGTGCCGATGGGCCGCAACCGACGACGGCACTGACGGTCGGGCGCGCGACGATGTCGTGGTGCTTTGGCGAAAATCCATCTCTCTCCTTCTCTCTCCTTCTCTCTCTCTCTCCTTCTCTCTCTCTCTCCTTCTCTCTCTCTCTCCTTCTCTCTCTCTCTCCATCTCTCTCTCTCCTTCTCTCTCTCCTTCTCTCTCTCTCTCCTTCTCTCTCTCTCTCCTTCTCTCTCCATCTCTCTCTCTCTCCATCTCTCTCTCTCTCCTTCTCTCTCTCTCTCTCCTTCTCTCTCTCTCTCCTTCTCTCTCTCTCTCCTTCTCTCTCTCTCTCTCTCCTTCTCTCTCTCTCTCTCCTTCTCTCTCTCTCTCCTTCTCTCTCTCTCTCCTTCTCTCTCTCTCTCCATCTCTCTCTCTCTCCTTCTCTCTCTCTCTCCTTCTCTCTCTCCTTCTCTCTCTCCTTCTCGCAGTGGTGGCCATGTGGTGCGCAAAGCATGGAGCCGAACGCAACATCGAGGTGTTTTCGGCCAAATTGGCGAGCGTGTTCACACATTCGCGGGAGGAGAACCGGAGCACTCGAAGGGATAACCCAGGCGTGTGAGGGGGGGCAACGTTCGATCCCAAACAGATGGGACCAGATGATAATCGGACAGCTTTAACCTCCATCCAAGCAATACGAATGTTGTACAGCTGAACCCTGGCTGAATCGTATCAGACTGAGCACTCGCTCTGCGCCCCTTACCACACACACATCAGACTGTCCACTGACTCTCTGTACCTTACCACACACACAGACTGTCCACTGACTCTCTGTACCTTACCACACACATCAGACTGTCCACTGACTCTCTGTACCTTACCACACACATCAGACTGTCCACTGACTCTCTGTACCTTACCACACACATCAGAATGTCCACTGACTCTCTGTACCTTACCACACACCAGACTGTCCACTGACTCTCTGCACCTTACCACACACACACCAGACTGTCCACTGACTCTATGTACCTTACCACACACACATCAGACTGTCCACTGACTCTCTGTACCTTACCACACACACCAGACTATTCACTGACTCTCTGTACCTTACCACACACACACCAGACTGTCCACTGACTCTCTGTAACTTACCACACACACACCAGACTGTCCACTGACTCTCTGCACCTTACCACACACACATTAGACTGTCCACTGACTCTCTGTAACTTACCACACACACGCACATCAGAATGTCCACTGACTCTCTGTACCTTACCACACACAGACTGTCCACTGACTCTCTGTACCTTACCACACACACACACATCAGACTGTCCACTGAGTTTCTGTACCTTACCACACACACACACACATCAGACTGTCCACTGACTCTCTGCACCTACCAAATACACACTCCAAAGAAGACAAAAAGATCCCCCATATAGCCTTAACAGACTGTAGGGGCAAGTGCTTTTAGCGAGCG